CTTCATATGTATGCGTTATAACGTTATAACGCAAACCTTTACGAAATAACGCAAACATTTTGATTTTTTTTATTCGTTAAAGGGGCACTAGCTACGAGATATATAAAAAGTCTAATATATGATTTTTTTTTGTCCAATCATTAATGAAAGTGAAATAGTGAAATAATTATTCGCTGTTAGCCGCCAGTATGGTTCAATTTTGTCAAAATAAGCTAAGAAACATTGATGATGAATTATTCACTTGCAAGTGAATAATTCGACCTCATTGGATCCGTATTCATGTGAACTTCAATTTAACCCCTTACCTAGAGATGGATAACACGTGAATTGTATGTGTAAAGTTATTCAAAGGAAAAGAATGTCAACATTAAAAGTAAATCATTTGATTGACTAATCCGATCCACAAAAAATCATTCTTATACAGTTAAAAACGATGATAAACATATATTTTTATCTATAATATGAAATTAAACAGACCTAGAAAAATCCAATAGCACGAGTTTGCTTAATCTATTATTATCTTAATTTATGTTTTAATTTACATCGCTTATATGGTCATCGGATGACTTTGGAGGTCAACTCGATAGTTAATTAGATGGCGTCTAGACTAAAATACACACGAAACGAAGCTACGTGTTATCATGCCCATGTCCTGTTAACTGTTTATTTTAGACTTTTAATAGTTTGGATAAATGTTTTACATTGTTATAAATCAAATATGAGAATTTGAGTCAAATCGATGAACATGAATTTGACACCTAGTGCCCCTTTAAGTTTTGTCTATTTTATAGTCAAAAACTATATTATGAATTAACATTTTACATTTATTATATAATGTAAAAAGCATTGTTTTGTAAATATCTTCATTTGCATGACCGTTTGCCAGTAAAAATTGGGTGTGATTTAGTTAAGAGACGGACCATGACCACAAGACCAAGTAATTACTAGTATCATAAAGATTCATAGGAATTAGGGAATTCTTGAGTCTCAATTTTACACAAATTAAGAACGATTTTTGTATCAGAAAACTATAAAAACATGAAAGTAGATATCGTAAGAGCAATTGTAGATTGAAAGGACATGATTTTGAAAATTTGATTTACGGAAAGTAGCAAAGTAGAGATGCACAACAACAATGTAATTTTGAAACGATAAAGTCAAATAGAAAATATGATCTTTCTGCTTTAAAAAGAATTATTTTGAAGGAAAACTTTTGAATTTTAATGTAAGAAAGCACATCCTGTCGATACTGTTTACTTATGTTCTGGCATGGCATAAGGTCAAGCGTTTCTAAGACTGTTTATGACGTCCTTACACTGAATCTGTTGGATGTGTACTGATTGATACTTTTGTCTTGGAGAACATGATTTATTTTTTTAGTTGTAACTGGCTTTGATGTTTCTTTCAGTAACTGCTAGTACTCTTATTTCTGTGCTTTGTATATATAGGTTTTAAGTTATTTTTTTTGTGCTTCGTACCGATCTTTTTGAGTTAATCCAATTGCAACTGATTACAGTTTGTCCTTATGTTGTAATGTTACACCATTATCCCAGGTTATGGGAGAGTTAAGCGCTCACAAACATGTTTAACCCCGCCTCATTCTTTATGTGCCTGCCCCAAGTTAGGAGCCTGAGCTTATTTTTATATTTGCTGAAATCTCAGAATACGATAAAGACTCTTTATAAAGGGGCTTTAAATTTCACTCTAGCAAAGTAGCTATTATAATAATAATAATAATAATAATAATAATAATAATAATAATAATAATAATAATAATAATAATAACAATAATAAATCTTTATCTTATACATGTATTTCAAGATGGTAGCTTGTTTGGATCTAGCCAATCTTACACATGACTCATACGAGCGCTTGCTTTGGAAGAATATATAAATTCGGCTACATAAACAGGGTTGGTTTTTATTTTTCTTCGATACAACTTCGATTTACTAAATTTTCTTTGTTCTGTTCATTATTATGCCATCATTATGTACCAAAGACTCCAGCATTTCACTTTGCAATAATTGCAAAGAGTGATAAAAATTAATACATGCAGCCTCCTCCATTTATAACAAACTTAGATAAGAACTAAATAACACAACTGTTATCGTTATAACGCAAACATAGGAAGAAATATAAATAAATTTAAAGTTTGCATGGCGCTAATACGCTTCCGTAGTTCATGTTTAGTGCTTGAAGTTCGTGTTTCGTGCAAATTAGTTTATATCAGCGTGTATTATAAAACTTTTTTTTTCGTTCACCGTGAAATTGCCATTTTATTTCCCGTTCGCCCGTGCAAAACATATCAGTACTTTTGGGTTCTGTTTTAAAACTTTCATAAAAAATCTGCTCAACATGTTCACTTGAACTACAATATATATTTAATATGAATGCATTTGAAAACTATAATTCTTTGTATCAAAGAGGCAAAAAAAATGAGGAGACTACATAAATGGAAGAAGACCAGGTGCGTTGAGAGGGTGAAAATATTAATATGAAATCAATGAGACGTGATACGATTGCCTATGAGACAACTACCTACCAAAGACCAAATGACATGTATACATGTGAACAACTACAGGTCCTTCAACAACATGATAAACCCATGCCGCATTGTAAGCTATAAAAGGACCCGAGATGACTAAATGAGAAAAATCCAAAAGAAAAAATAAACTTAAACAAAACGAAAAACAGTTATAGCAAACTGCATTCAACGACAACCACTGGATAACATGATCCTGGCATAGGACATGCACATAAAGAACATCGCTTACCATAAAATTAAAATGCATTTCACTTCAGGAGTCCTCTTATGATTTCCGTTTTATTGACATTTTTGCAGATCTTGTATTTCTGATGATTTTGCTGTTTACAGTTTCTACCTATTTATTACAGTTTCCAAGATAATATACAAAAGCACTAAACTAAAAGTAGTCAAAAATCGTTATATTTTTGGAATAACTCCTTAGGGAATCATCAAATGGTTTCGGTCATATTGGCATTTTTGTACATTTTAGCCGTTTAAAGTTTCTATCTATCTAATTATGCGGCGTTCACACAGTGCCGATTATGGCTCCCGTTTGAGATCAGACAGCGCTAAGACACGAAAAGTGAAAAAGTCGGATTACTATCCTCAATGATCTGGAATGTACCATCATTGTCTGAACGCAGTCGTATACGTTCGTAACAGATTCCTATGGATCGGGAATGGCCCGGAGAGGTCCGCCAAGCACCCTTGATAGTTAGGTGCGTCCCGTAACACTCGGGGAAACTCCGCCGATTTTGTCTAGTCGGATTACAATCGTGATTATGTCGTGAAAGATTCTGCTGTATCGGATCAAAATCGTAACAATGTTCTGTGTCTTCTGGAAGGTGTCCTGTGGAACGGGCATGATCTGGAGAAATTTGTCATTGCTGTTTTTTTGCCGATTGAGTCCAGATTGCATCCAGATCTTGCCGAATGCGAACCGTCTCTGTTCCGGAACAGTCCCGTTATTAATACGAAATTCGGCATTAATACCCACGTTGCAGTTCCGACAATTACAGAACACGATACGATGGAGTCCCGACAAAGTCGTTTGCAATACGGTACAGCAGACTGTGCTAGGATTGCGTTCCGGTAGTACCTGATCATCCCGAATATGGTGATTTTTTTATAGGACGGGACTATCACATGAAACGGTTTTCTAACGGATATCTTCCGTCAGCGTCGGTTTACTGTCTGGTCACTGTCTGATCTCCGTCGGATCGCATTCGGCAGACTTTTGACAAATTTTGATCGGGAATGGTCCTATCAAGGACGGCAGTAAAAATCGTGAATGTGTGACCCTGGCTTAATATATAACAGTTGTTGCGATAACAGGCAAACACATGAATATACCTTCTTTTCTTTGGTTTATATCCCTGGCATTTACCGATTAAAGATAGTAATTTAGTGTTTTGGTATATAACATACCTTTTTCTCTGATTTATAGTTGTGTGCCAGCGATACGTTGCGATAGGTCAGCATAACAGTTTATTAGACCAATCAGATAGTCAGTGTCTCAGGTCATATCATGTAATGTCTCAAATAGAGAAAACAACTAGGTTCCAAAGTCATCCACATAAGACAGTTTCATCATATCATAAATTACATGTAGTTCTGTTAGTCAACGAAACCTTCGTATTCTTTCATTCAACAGTATGTTGTTATAATCTGAGTGACGCCATTGAATGTAATTCTCCCCCCCCCCCCCCCTTTAATGATTTAGCGCTTTGATATTGCACTGACTATTACGTTATTTTGGTACGGACAGAAACGAACTCATGCACCGTGTACATCTTTTGGTACAGTTTCCTTGGATTGTGTAGTACAGATATGGGTTTATATGATTTGGCTTTAAATATAGTAAATATAGTCTATGTCAATCAATCGGAAACCTGTTCCTGGTCTAGACTCCGTATATAAATTAGAAACCTGACCCTGGTCTAGAATCTATATCTGGAAACTATTAAAAGATGATCTCAATAACTGTAATGTAGAAATCAAATATATGTAATGGATTAATTTAGCAACAGAAGTGGATAGGCAAAAAGAATCCAGATATACAGTTAAAGTTTAAAATATATAGCATTATCAATTAATTTCCTGGGAACTGAACAAATTTAAGGAAACGATCGAATGCGGCATCAACATATTATATAACTAAAATTGATTATTAACAACTGACCATAAATTAAATCTTTTAAAAATACTATATATACATCTATTTGGCTTTTCAGTTTTATTTATATGTGTTAATTAATATACCTGATCTGCAATGCTGAATTAAGTTACCATTAATAGAAAAGGGAGAAACCGAGTTAATTAATCATGTTTAATTTCTTCTGGAGTGATGTTTAATGAGATACTCACTGATGCAGTAAATTTTCTTAATCTATAATAATACATTTTTGGCATCGATGCTTATAACTACTGTTACAGTTCCTCATAATCACAATAAGCGATCTACCGCTAGAACTAAGGTATATTTCAACCTCAACTTCATCACGTGTTTTGCTATAATTATAGGGAGTTAAAACAATTACGACATGTTGACAGTTTCTACAATGTGCGACAGAATTCAGGACGAAAGATTATTATTCAGGTCAAATAGCTGAGAGGCAGATCGATACTGAACTTATTCTAGTACTGATTCCATATGCACGTACTTTATTTATTTTTTTAATATGTCGCTGGCAACATTGAACAGACATAGATGGGGAGACATAATCAATGGGATGTTCTGGTATAAATATCAAGACGGAAAACCCTACAATGTTTAAAGCATCGATTTGATGTGATTTAAGTGGAGCAGTGATAATTAAACGAGAAATGTTGCAAAGAAGCTAGGGTAAGGTGACATGTTTTAAATTGATCGATATATTTGTTGTAGCAAGTGCTTAGCTTGGCCTTTGTCGACCTGTTACATGGAATGGGGTTATACTTTTTTTAGCTTTATGAAAATTGATGTTGGCTTTGTATTATTTGCATACGCTTTTTCGATGTTTAATGTTAATAAGCCGTATTACTGTGTAACTTTTACATGACACTATATCCCATCTTTAATGTTAACAAGCCGTATTACTGTGTAACTTTGACATGACACTATATCCCATCTTTGATGTTAATAAGCCGTATTACTGTGTAACTTTGACATGACACTATATCCCATCTCCCTAATTCAATAAACTATCATAAATGTTATATTATTTATTATAAGTTGATCAAGGAGCTAACTGAAAACTCTATCTAAATTGGAATATCTCAATCTGCTTAAAGATTAAAAAAGTAAGAATAAAACGAGACGTTGTCCATTCGGAAGATAAAAATCGTTCATTATGATGGTTCAAGCAAATAAAGAATCAACACAGATATAAAAAAAAGGTCCAGATAGTACTTTCAATTCGAAAAACAGTAAGCTGCTAATTATGCCCCGCCTACGATATTTGCGAGGCATTACGTTTTCTGGTATTTTTGGCCGTCCGTCATGTTCAATTTTTTGGTAAAGGTATTTTACCATAATTCTTAGTCACGTCGGCTTGCAACCTCGTACATATGTTCATTTTGATGTAAGTATTTAATATTATATGCCAATTATCAGTTTTGACCCCTTTTTCACGGCTCACTGAACGTGAAGAATGTTTAACCCCGCCACATTCTTTATGTTCCTGTCCCAAGTCAGGAGCCTGCAATTCATTGTTGTCGTTGGTTTCATGTCTGTCATATTTGTTTTCCGTTAATTATTTTGTTATGAATAATATAAACTAGAAGATGTGGTAAGTCCGTTAGTTTTCTCGTCTGGATTGTTTCACATTTGTCATGTTGGGCCTTTTATAGCGGACTAGACGATATGGGTTTTGCTCATTGTTGAAGGCCGTACGGTGACAAATAATTGCTTACACCAACGTCATTTGGACTCTGGTGGATTGTTGTCTCATACCTATCTTTTTATTTTGATATGGAAATGTGACAGTGTGAAACCAGTACATTTAGTTTTAAAGGTTAACGTTTTTATGTAAAGGTAGTTTAGCATGAAATTGTGGCCACATCAACTTAAAATTCAGAACACATGTTCATTATGATGTAATATGTCATGGTTCACTGGACAAGGAGAACGATAGAACACGCGGGGCATGTTGTCATATGGACACATATTCTTGTCATTCATAAAAAGAAGCCCAATTGATGTAAGTTAAAAACTTGCATATCTTAAAGTGAACATGCCAGTCTTTCTGAGTTAATGATGGTAATAACAATGTCACCGTTTCAAATTTGACTGTCCGAAGCGCTTGTCTATCTTTTATTTTAAAGATGATGATATTGGTTGAAAAATGGTAAGATGCCTTGTTGTTTGTATAAGTTATAAAAACTTTTGTATGGGATTGTTGGTAATTATAAACACTTCTGTATGGGATTGTTGGTCATTATAAACACTTCTGTATGGGATTGTTGGTCATTATAAACACTTCTGTATGGGATTGTTGGTCATTATAAACACTTCTGTATGGGATTGTTGGTCATTATAAACACCTCTGTATGGGATTGTTGGTCATTATAAACACTTCTGTATGGGATTGTTGGTAATTATATAAACACTTCTGTATGGGATTGTTGGTGATTATAAACACTTCTGTATGGGATTGTTGGTAATTATATAAACACTTCTGTATGGGATTGTTGGTGATTATAAACACTTCTGTATGGGATTGTTGGTAATTATAAACACTTCCGTATGCGATTGTTGGTAATCATAAACACTTCTGTATGGGATTGTTGGTAATTATATAAACACTTCTGTATGGGATTGTTGGTGATTATAAACACTTCTGTATGAGATTGTTGGTAATTATTAACTCTTCTGTATGGGATTGTTGGTAATTATATTAACACTTCTGTATGGGATTGTTGATAGTTATAAACACTTCTGTATGGGATTGTTGGTGATTATATAAACACTTCTGTATGGGATTGTTGGTAATTATAAACACTTCTGTATGGGATTGTTGGTGATTATAAACACTTCTGTATGGGATTGTTGGTGATTATAAACACTTCTGTATGGGATTGTTGGTAATTATTAACACTTCTGTATGTTATTAAACTAAGGTACATAAAATGTCATAGGTATCAATTATATTCTAAATTGCTGACATTTTAAAATGCAGTCTATAATTTCCTGGGAGACGAATATTCTTTATCATTTGTATTCGTATTACATAATTGTTTCATCGGTTGATAGCGTTCAAAACTTAAAACAAAAATTTCAATAGACATTTTGTTAATGCTTTTTTACTTGGCATTTTGAAAAATGTTCAAGGATATAAATATTTATATGTGAATGATGAATTTTCTGGAAAAGCAATCCTACCTAGTAACTAGAAAATAGAATGTCCCACGACTTTTAAATTTTTAATTAATATTATGTTTAATTAGATCATGCGTTATCGACTGTACCACCGTAATTTGATAGAACTACTACGGTGTCGCCATTCCATTGGCTGCTTGGAGTTGACAACATATTTTCTAGGAAAGCTTTCGAAATCTGTAAGTAAAATCGGATCTATCGATCTTTTACTGGTTAGCTCATCTTGAATGTAAACAATTTGACGAATGACGACAGTGCCTCGTTCTAGATTGGAATAATTTTCTTCAATGACATTGGTTTTCATTGAAAAAGATCTGTCACCGACTTTTTGTAATGGCTCAAAAATTAGCAAATTGTTTGCACTTTGCAATATGGTGACAATTGATTTAAAACAACATCGGATATAACAAAGGTAGGAATTTAATACATCAATTTTAATCATTAATTTTCTCTAGTGATTGATTAATTTACACGTACGGTTCTCGTTTCCTCTTTTTATACACGTTCATTCATAGAGTGAACAAGAAATCAATACTAGTTTTATTTATACCATAGATACTTTGCTGCTGTCATTTTGAAGCAGTGGCGGAAAAGACATTTCTATGTATTGCTGAAATTAAGATAGCAATTTTGATGTAAATTATGAACAGATGGAACTTCGTTAAAAAAAGAATTAAAAAGAACGTTTATCTCAAATGTCTTTAGTGGTGATATATTGCTTGGTGCTGTGCTATTGAATTTACCATTAGTGTATATGTAACACGAACAACACTTAATGAACTTTCCTGACAGACACAAAAAACAAACGACTGATGCAATAGTTAAAACAAGTTATTATTACATATTTGTATATATCGTTCAGCGTAAAAGTAGTTTTGAAATTCTGTGGGAACGAGATTTCTGGTCAATTTAAGTTTTGTCGATTAAAATATGAGACCTTTTGTCTACTATAATACTGAATACGAATTGCCACTGCAGTTTTGCACGCATTGATCAACTGAATTGATGCTACTAAGGGGAGGGTCTGATTTTTGCATACAGGAGTAGTAGGACGGATGCCACCAAGGAGAGGGACATATATATTTTTGCACATCTGGAGTAGTAGGACGGATGCCACCAAGGAGAGGGACATATTTTTTGCACATCAGGAGTAGTAGGACGGATGCCACCAAGGAGAGGGACATATTTTTGCACATCTGGAGTAGTAGGACGGGTGTCACCAAGAAGAGGGACATATTTTTGCACATCTGGAGTAGTAGGACGGATGTCACCAAGAAGAGGGACATATTTTTGCACATCTGGAGTAGTAGGACGGATGTCACCAAGAAGAGGGACATATTTTTGCACATCTGGAGTAGTAGGACGGATGTCACCAAGAAGAGGGACATATTTTTGCACCAAATGATATAGGATTGGTATCACCAAGGGGAGGGAGCCCAATCTGCATAACCCTATAGATTACCGAGTTCATCCTCGATTTTTTTTATTGAAATTGTAATTTTCTATTTCTTTTTTTTTTACTTAAGTCTTTTCGGTTTTTTTATTGGTCATGGTGTTCCTGTCCTTCGACTTTTACATTATAGAAGCTCCCTTAACTTTTGTCAACTTTGAAGAAGGGGAAAGGAAAACTATGTGTTTATCATTAATTAGTGTGGCAACTTTTAAAAAAAACCCAAGGCAATAGTAAACATTTACTTTGGATATATGACGAATACGTTCAGAATATATATTCTATTATCACATGCAAGGAAAAGGAGAAATTAACTAGTAAACAATGAACGGGGATGTATAACACAATTTATATCAATAAAATGCAGATCTTTGGACGATTAAGGGATGTATGTCAGAAATCTGATATTGATATGCATAACATAAATAATGAAACAAAGAGTACGATATTTTGTTAAACTTTATATATTCACTAAGGGAAAGACAAGTGTGATTTGAGGTCATCCTTTACAGGAAGGTAGACAGATATTTTTTTCATTTTGCTCAATTATTTCTTTTGATTGTGTGATTACTACCTGTGATTTTGTGAAAATTTACTATCAAAAGTGCCAAAAAACTTAAGGATAGGTAGGAAAACCCTTAACTTTATTTTGACTTTATAATTATAACATCTAATGTACTTTACCTTTAAATCAAATTGGGCTTAATGATGATATATTATTTGAAGTTTTCAAAGTTCTTAAGTGTTCTAAAAGTAACAGTTATTTATTAATATAAAAAATTATATTATTATGACTAATCGTATTAAAGACGGAATATAAGGAATAAGAAAGGTGAAGGTTTGTCGAATAATTGAAACTGGAATAAATATTTCTATAGATACAACGACGTTTCATGATTTTAAAGGAATCAACTTTCAACAGAGATAAGGGTGGGAGTGTCGTTTGTAATGCGATTATAGTAGGAAGATTTAAACTCCCACAAACATCATTCACTTAGTACAGCATACAAGACAGCATATGTAAAGGAGTATCAAT